AGTGTGATTGTCAGTCTTTTTGTAGTTTACATGTACCACGTTGCATAAAAAAGAAGTGTCAGCTGGGTTTGAGGATCACACTGAAGAAGTTTGAAACAATGAGGAAAACATTTAAAAATCAAGCTTGGGGTTCTCTGCTTCACAATAATAGCTTTGATTTCAGCCATAGAAGTCAACTACTAACATCTTTCTCCTGCTCAGCTCATAACTAGCTGCTCAAGTTTTGAAAGGGGGAGGAAAGAATAGAGTACAAGATGTTGACAATGGCCTAAGATAGGACCTCTAAGCCAGCAGAAACCACCAGCATCACAACAAATAGGGCTAAGAAGAAGAATGTGAACCCTGTGACCTGACTGTAGGAAGAGTAGGAGAAAAGTACTGATGTGAGGACAGAGCCTGGAGGGAGCCCAGAAACCAAAGAAGGCAAAAGTGAGATGGCTTCGGTTTAGAAGAATATCCTAGGAACTGGAAAATTTACACACAGATCTCTCTTTCCCTAACTCTTGCTGGGAATTACCCTCCCACATTATCAGCTGTTCATCCTGCCAAAGATGAGGATGAGAAAACATTTTGTTTACTGCCTTATGGAGTGCTTATGCCTGTGGAAACCTTTGATCAGTATACTAGACAAAGTGCATGTGGAGGTAGATGTTTCTAAAACAACAAAAACAAGAAGTTTTCAAGAAGAAATGGTCTTTCATATTCTTTTATAACAAGAAAAAAAAAAAAAGCTTTCAAGGCTCCTGCATTCTCTCATCTGTTAGGGAAAAGCCAGAAAATGCATTTTGTGTTGCAAGACTAAACTTGTTAATCAGCATTTTGTTGTATATCTTCTGAGTATGAAGAACAGATTAATGAACCATGTGGAAGTTTAGGTCCAACATAACATTTATTTGTTTATTAAAAACCTGCACAATAATTGCAAAAAATAATTAAAGGCATCATACTTTTTAAAAATCAATGAATTTATCTTTGATGAATTAAAAAAAGATACTATTACTACAATATTACTATAATCTTTGTTAAGGTGGAAGACATAGAACATAGTAATAGAAATGAATATAAATACAGTATCCTTTTGTGAGTCAATTAAGCTACAGTAATCATGAAGGCAGATAATATATCCATCTTGAATAACGTAATTTACATGCACAGACTTGGCCAAACATGGATTCACTGGAAAAAGTATAATTAACCTCCCCCCACTCCAATATTTCACCTACAAAATATTTATATCATCTTGCCATCAATGGTTGCATGGAGAATACTCAAGGACCGCAAAACATTTTTAATACTAGGAAGGTAATTAAAAAACAGAACGAAACAAACATCCCTTGGTTTTCGTGTTTTGTTTTTTTTAAATCTGGGCTGAATATGACTTCATGTTTTGCTGGGTGCTGAAAAGTGCTATACAATATTTATCTAGGTAATTGCATGTGTGCACCAGAGTGATAAGCCTAGCTTTATCAACGTTTCAATGGATAATTGAAAATTATTATCTCCTTTTCTGAATTGTGCTTGTACAGATTGTTCAAACTTTAAGAAAATTATGCTTATTATTAGGTAGATTTCCCACAGGTACTCACATGCACCAAAGCTGCTTTGATGACTCGGCCAATGTCTTCTCTCCACTCTGGGATGTCAGGATTGTGATAATCCAAATTGGGTGAGAATGACAATAGTTGAGACTGAAAATATTCTGCAAAGAAAGAGTGTCATGGTAAAATTCCAACACAATCTATTAAGGCTATTTACACTGGAATGGTTAAAATGGATTCTTTACAATGGCATACAGCAAAGTTCTTCATATTACTAAAAAGAGAAAAAGTAGAAGCATATATTCTCAGAAATGCAAAATGTATCAAATATCGTGTGTGTGTATACATATAAAGAATTCTGCTTGATTCTCAAAATCATTCTTGTCCCAGAGAAAACTGGCATATTTTTGTCAGATGCTGAAGGTTGTTCCCAATATGTCAAGCATCAGCTTTAAATTATCATGTTTCAAATGTATTTAAAATGAAAATATATCTAGTCTCCCTTTAACTTTCCAGTGAATCATATGTCTGTCTGTGTACATATATGGAGAAGAAGGTTCTATTCAGTATAAAAATCCCTTATACATGAACTCATAACTTCCCAGACAAAAGAATTTTAAACACTTTCCATACAACAAAAGTTATGAGGAATAATATTCATAGGTAAATACGGGCACTTTCACATTAATGTTCTGTATCATTTTGGATTTTACCTCTGGATCTGACTAATCTCATAATGTTGTTTGCTTTTGAGAGGTGAATTCCCTTGTTTCCAGCTCTGCTCCTGTTTCGTTTCCTTGATGCAACTCTGCAAATGTTGTAGATGGTTCATTTTCCTACGGGTAGGCTCTCACCTCATCCCAGGTCCCAGGTTCTGGGACAAAGCCATTATTGCTCTTTCCCATCCCCTGTTCCTGCAACCTATCTCTTCTTGTATGTGTGAGCTAGAATTTATTTCTCAACTACAGGCAAATATTGGGAAAGTACTTCTTTACCAAATTGCCAGCATGCTATCAGCTCATTTTCATAAGTCATAGGGCTTTTAAATGCAATAGAGGAATGTGGTCAGGCGGCTGGGAAGATTTTAAAGGGTAGCAATAATTTATAAAGTTGGCATTCCCTTGCACAGTTCCCTATCACTCCTTGGATGATATTGCTTGCTCTCTCCTATTATGCCATTGGAGAATGAGCACTGACTGGATTGTGATGGTCTTATGGGTTTTCCGCATTTCAAGAGCAGCATAAGTGAACACAGTGTAAGATGATTTCAGACTATTTTGTGAGGCATTGGGGGGGGGGAACAAAGGCTTGGGAAGGCCTTGAAAACAGGCACCCCTTACCTCAGGAGATTTCTGGGAGACGAAAAAGAGAGAAAAAAGGAAAACAAATCTAAAACTTAAACAAGACACATAAGTTGACATGATTTTTTTTAAAAAAATAATTTCTGTAAGAAACTAAAAGAAAGATGGAAAGAGAAAGCAGGAAACTAATCAGATAAAGATATAATCCTTTCTGTTTGTGTGATATTGTCTCTTGTCTAGCCCTCTATACGTAGACTGTTTTAGTTTCACTAACACTGTTCAGCAATTAAACTGTACCAAGAGTGAAATGAGAAGCAGCTTCCAAAACCTGGTTTCTTCTTCTATTGTACTTGACATGCTTTGCGCTCCACTGAGCACATCCTTAGTGCTAGTAATCTGTTTTCCAAAAGCAAAGAGATATCAGTTTGTTAGCCTTATGTGCTGCCATGACTACATAATGCAGAACAAATCAGATTGAGGTAGTGACAGACAAATCAGGGTACAGCAATTCATGAGACATGAAGAAATCACTCCCTAATTAAATCCTTGCAGTAGAGCAAGGCTAATTTCAGTGGCAGACAAGTTTATACATCTTATAAATGGACCTCTTCTCTGACAATGGGCTGGACTGAAAGCCTTCTTTGGCTTTTAGTAAGGCTCTTGCCAGGAATATCTGTCAGTCTTATCCTTCATCTTTGCTGATGGTCCTGCTGTCCTCATCATCACCTAGTTTCCTCCAGTACTGCACTCTCTTTCTCCACAGTCTTTGCCCACTTCCACTGATTGATGTTCTCATAGTTTAACCTAATTTCACACAGAAACTTTGGAAGCAGAGATTTTGTGGCCTGACCTGATACTAATGGCTTTGTTCAGAGAAGCAAAACCCACAGCTGGGGCCACAAAGTCCTCCAAACTTTGAGTACAGGCCCCAAAGACTTGTCACCAAATTGTATGTTTTGATATGACAACAGAAGAATGCTATTAAAGAAATGGCTGGGGAATAAATCAGTTTAATTATATTTAAAAAATTAATGTTAATGAGATAGAAATGAAATTTAGTTTTTGTCCTGCCCCCACACACCTTTTGGAGCACAATCAAAGATGAGAGATGACTTGGCCTGGGAGACATTACATACCCCTTAAATTACTCAGATATTACACAAGCCCTAAATTTAGCAATTCTGAGTTCTGAGGGGGTGGGGAGCAGAAGGTAATGAATGTACATAGAAATGAATTATGCCTCATTGGAGAAAGGAAAATGTCAGCATCAAAATGTTATTGCTCCTCCTCTTTAACCAGTATGGTGCACATGGACAGAAAATACTTGCTAATATATAGTTAAAATGTGTGCAGTGCATACTATTTTTAGCTATTTTCATGCCAACAATATCCAATTCTCTAAAAAGTAAATGTACAGAAATTGATACATTTATTCAGAATTAGAGATGTGAAAATAATCTTTACTCCGAATTTACTCTTAGTCATCGGAATACTCTCTGTGAACTGGCATATGTTACTTCAAGTCCAATTATTTATTTGGCACAAAAAAAACTGTCAATTATAAAGCCTCCTTTGTGTGTGTGTGTGTGCATGTGCACACACGCATGTGTCCCTTCAAGTCAGTGTTAACTCCTGGCAATGGATTACACCCTGCAGTTTTCTTGGCAAGATTTTTGGAAATGGTCTGCCATTGTCTTCTTCGTAGGGTTAAGAGAGAATGACAGTGACTGGCCCAAGGTCACCAAGTTGGCTTCATGACTAAGGTGGGAGTAGAACTCATGGTCCCCTGGTTTCTAGCCTGGTGCCTTAACCACTACCTCAAACTGGCTCTCAAACCCTCCATAATGATATACAATTTCGTAAAAGTTTTTCCCCAGCAAAGGAGTATTCTGTTTTTATACCTCCTACACAGGATTCTTTAGAATTTATTTGAGTGATACCTTCGAGCTTCCTTTATTGTTGAGAAATGGCAGAAGGTGATGTGCTACTACTGTTTTCTATTATATGTCTCTCCATCACTCTGTACCCTTCCTAACATCTGAATCTTAGAAAGTCCCATGGACCATCTGCAGAATGTCTTCCTTTGGAATTTAATAAAACTTGAGAGATTACAGATAGCTGGGAAAATGTACAATGAAATATAGAACTCTCATTAGTGATCTTGTGATTAAGGTAAGTACCAGAAACCTGCTCTCCACCTATGAAAATGTTATCATTTTTTTTCCTTTCAAATAAACTTTAAAAAATCCATCAAACTGATGAAAAACGTTCTTAAAATGCAGAATGAATGAATGTGTATTATGTATATATACATATATGTATATGCATAAACTTAATTTATATCTATATGTGTGTGTATACGTACAGTGTGTGTGTATATATATACACGGCTGGATAGCGTAGTGGTTAGAACACCGCCTTTGATGCAGGAGACCGGGGTTCAAATCCCGGCTGGTACCTACCTTACCAGTAGGGGTCCTTGGGCAAAGACCCCCTAACGCTTCACCTGCCCACCTCAAAATATGAGAGTGACATGAACTAAGAGAGTCATGCCGGCTCGGACGTCGCCCGGATTAACAAGATCCGTGTCAGATGTTGGGGAACCAGGACAATCTGATGTTAAGTGGGCTACTGGAACAAACCGTACATGGACGAGACAAGAGAACTTTGAATTGATGGAATGCTACTACAACAGCAGACCTAATGAGAGGGGATATATGAAACGTATGAGGGAGCTATGGATTGACAGAAAGCCTACATCCACACTAACTGGGAAACAACTAGTTACCCAGCGCTTCAACATAGTGAGGAGGAAGCTGCTCTCACAACTTGAGATAGACCAACTCCACATTACAACCCGGACTCAAG